TGAGTCCTTCTTTTCTCCCTCCGTGGTTGGGGTATTTTCCTGGTCGTGAGCCTTGGGGGGTCATGGGCCGTTGAGACAAGGCCGAGAGGAGTTGGCTGTCAACCGACGAGTGTGTGGGATGAGGTACGGTGTGGTGGTGTGGAGATGGTTTGGGATGGATGGTTGGTGGATGGATACGGATGGTGTGGTGGTGAATGTGTTAAAAATTGGATATTATTATTATATTACTATTGTTATTTCCTTCTCGTGCGCTAAGGATGCAAACCACAGCCAAATATTAGGATCACCAGATCCCTTGTTTATCTTTTCCACTAAAGCTCATCGGTGCTGACCATGGCCTGCACACATCTGGCGGTGTGTAGATTTCCTGCTTCTCAGAGATGCTGACTTTAGAAGGATTAGGAGGTCTCGTGCCTACGCTCAAGTTTGGTTCAGAGATGGAATCTACGTTGCACTACGCCAACTCTGATGATGCCCGTTGAAAGCTCTAGTTTGGTTTTGGTGAATTGATGAAATCCTAAGTGCTAACCTAGTTTATCAAGTGATCATGAGATAGGTAGCACACTCCAAGTGGTGAAGCAAATGAAGATCATAACATGATAAAGATGATGGCATGGTGATGATCAAGTGCTTCGACTTGGAAAGAAGAAAGAGAAAAACAAAAAGCTCAAGGCAAAGATATAACTTGTAGGAGCTATTTTATTTTGGTGATCAAGACACTTAGAGAGTGTGATCACATTTAGGTTTGATAGCCGTACTATTAAGAGGAGTGTAACTCGTATCGAAATGCGGTTATCAAAGTGCCACTAGATGCTCTAACTCATTGCATATGCATTTAGGATCTAGTGGAGTGCTAACACCCTTGAAAATATTTGTGAAAATATGCTAACACATGTGCACAAGGTGTTTGCAGGGGTTGAGATGGGTTTGGGTCCCTCTCTCCCTCCCCCCGAGCTTGCAGAAGGATTCGGCTAACTTTTCGGAAAAATGAAAAATCCATTTTCTATTGCTAGATGCATGCAAATATCTTTGTGGTTGGCACACTTGAGCAAGGGTGAAGAAGTAAGAGTTGAAATGGAGTTGATCGAAATGATCTCAAGGCGTCTACCACGTCACCAGTGGTGCATTCGACCACTTATCTGATATCAGACGGACGCTTGCTTGCATATTACGTCCGTATTATTAACTCCTTTCGCGGTACGATCGGGATGTGGGGTTGAAACACTCGGAATGGTTTGGCTTGGAAGCCGGTTGGTGGACGGACGCGTCCGGTGTCTTGGGCCTCGGGAGCTTAGGAAACGACGTGATCGAGCTTGGGGCTTCGACGTTGGGCCGGTCTTGCCATCGGTGCGTCCGGTCACTTGGACATATAATGAAATCGACGAACAACATTTGAAGCGGGGGGCCTTGGGCGTGAACCTCACGTGACCGGACGCCGGGGCCAGTCAGTCGGTCGATCGAAACCTGGCGTCCGGATACCCCGCGGTTGGTCATAGTGAAGGACTTACGGTACTATTTCATTGGGGCTCTATTTTTAGCATGGCTCGCCCATAGGGCGCTCTCTTCGGACACTTTTTCATTGACATAGCAACCTTGTGAGCCTAGCCAAAGCCCTCCCACTCATCTACATCATTGATTCATCATCATAGTGAGATTGGGAGTGAATCCAAGTGCATTGCTTGAGTGATTGCATCTAGAGGCACTTGGTGATTGTGTTTCGACTTGGGATTTCGCTTGTTACTCTTGGTGGTTGCCGCCACCTAGATGGCTTGGAGCAGCAAGGATCGCTGAGTGGAGGAGGTGATTGTCTCCGACTCCGTCGGTATGTGGTGATTGTGAGGGTTCTTGACCTTTCCCGGCGGATATGCCAAAAGGTACTCTAGTAAATTGCTTGTGGCTTGTGTGATCCTCATCTTGTGTTGGTTAAAGCGGCACCCTATTGAGGGTTTGGCGAGTGATGCCAATCGTACGTGAACCTCCAAGTGAGTGAATCGCCTATTAACGAGGACTAGCTTGTCGGCAAGCAAGTGAACCTCGGTAAAAATCATTGTGTTCATCATTGATTCCGAGGTGATTGGTCATCATTGTTATTCATCTTCGTGATTGATTGGTTCATTCATCTACACGGATGTATAACCCTCTTGATCACTCTCTTTACTTTTAAAAAACTAGTTGATATTATTTAGTGTAGCTAGTTGTGAGAGCTTGCATGCTTGGTTGGTGTGGCTCTTTAGTTAGCCTTTGAGAGCACACTAACATAGGGTAGTGTCATTGCTTTGTGTGAATTGACACTATCTAAACTAGAATTGTGGTATGTGGCTTGCATTTTTTTAGGCTAGCGCAACACTAGACTTTAGAAGGATTATAATTGTCTAACCATTTGGTTAAGTGTTGTTGTAGAAATTTTTATTAGGCTATTCACCCCCCCTCTAGCCATTAGGACCTTTCACCCGTGAAGGAGGAGCCTTCACTAGATAGTCTTCCGCTAGATTAACTCTGTAATAGGTGTGTTCCCTAGTGATGTAATATCTTGTATTCTTGTAATCTTACGATGTATGACTGTGACATCGACTGAAATATGATAATATGATGGAATCAGTTCTTGATTTCATCATATTATAATTTATTCGGTGGAATTTTCCCTTCGCGAAAATTGAGGATGTTTCAGTTTGTACCTTAAGGTTAAGTGGGGGGGTCGGAGAGTTCAGGCTCAGCCACAAACTCGCCTTCCAGCTCAAGGAGTGCCTCCTAGGCCGCCTCCATCCCTACACAAGTACGATCAGAGACAAAGCAAGAAATGCAGTTTAACTTTTTTGTGTGTGAGGGGGGCACTACAAATTTTCTCAAAAATTGATTGAATCTAAAAAATTTCATCGGAAACTACACAAATTTAGTGGGGTCTTGGCCCCTCCTTGTCCTCTCCCTCCTCCATTGAGGACAATGACGCACAAGTAAACATGATGCTTATGATATGAATTGCTTATGCATAAACAAGATGGAAAACATTATGCATAGCTTGAACATAACTAGGGACTAGGTAACACTAGACGGTTAGGAAAAGCCAAATTGGTTGTCCACTAGTATTGACAGGTTGTACGTCTAGGCTGCCGGACTATCCACCCATACCTATCATACCATCCGACTAGGACTTAGGCAAGGACTTGGTTCTAAGGGCACTCGACTCTATGTTGTCTAGACGGATTGCCCGTGTGAGCACGTGGACTGTCCATGTGAACATTGCAGATCATACATACTCTGTAGTGTCAGGTTTGTACTTGCGGGTGATCCTTCGATCATCCATGTGTTTTGGACAGAAACAACTAAGTTACTGGGTCGGGTTTTGCTCTAGCGATTGTTCGGTGGTGTAGTGTAGGCATTTGTCCGTGTCGTAGAAGGCATTGAGGTCCAAAGTCAAGATTGCTGAGAGCATGCTAGGTCGAAGCTTTGTGCAAGGCTTGTTCCTAGTAGTTGTCTGGGGTTCATAGAGTGCATCTAAGGAGGTGTATTGGGTAACTTGTGCATAGTTGAAACTTTATAGCATCCATGGCTATCACACCATGTTTGTGAGATGGAGATGGTTTCTAGGTGAAGCTTCTTATGGTTTTAGGGTTAGAGCTTACCCTTCACATCTAAGATTCAAGCTTGGGACATTAAGTTGGTAGACGGTTTGGGGATTGTCCTTTTTTCTTCTTGCTCCCCCTTGCCCACCAATTGCTTAGCTCCATCCTATCAATTGGGAATGTCTTGGGGAATGAACAGGCTCCTCCACCTTGGTTCTCTTCTCCTTTCTTGTGTTCTTGGTTATAGGGAGGGGAAGGAGTGTAGGGGAAGATTGAGAGCAGGAAGAGGGCGGTGACACTCCAGCTGACATGTGGGGCTAAGAGAGGTGTGCTTTGGACGGCTCATAAACTGCATAGCTTTTGTCGTCAACATGTTCTAGTGGATCGTCTGATATCCCTATCGAACCATCCGTCAAAGCACGACTCAGAATCAACTACTCCTTCCATTTATAAATTATAAGATGTTTTGACTTTTTTTAGATACATTACTTTTATTATGCGTCTAGACATAATGTATATTTAAGTACTCCCTCCGTCTCAAATTATAAGTCATTCCAAGAATCTTGAAGAGTCAAAGCATCACAAGTTTAACCAAATTTATATGGTAAGATAATAACATTTATGATGTCAACTAAGTCCCATTAAATTCTTTATTAATTATATTTTCATAGTATACCTATTTAATGTCATAAATCTTTGTAATTCTCTCTATAATTTTGGTCAAACTTGAGATGCTCTGACACTCCATGATTCTTGGAATGACTTATAATTTGGGATGGAAGAAGTACATAGCAAAAACTATGTATCTAGAAAAGTCAAAATGTCTTATAATTTGAAATGGATGTAGTATATGATTGACAAAGTAATTATTGAACTGTCCCACGGTTCAGTTGGACTAGCACACGGACTTGTTAGTTTCAAGAATACATAACAGACTGGTTTTGCAAAGACTCATGATGCTTATGCTTATATACCAAATGCAAACTGGGTAGTTACACGTTACAATACCAGTCTACTATAGACCTGTTATTTATCTTTTCTCGACGTTATTTATTAATTTGCCTTCGGCCTAGTGCCACCCAAGAAAAAGCGAAAATTAGACCACAAAAGGTCTAAGAAAAGAAAGGAAACTAGAATCACTTTGGGCCGTGCAGTCTGGTCAAGTAAATGATATGGGCCATTTGGGCAGTTGGGCCTTGAACTAACGGGAAAGCAATAATTTGAGGAAGTCCAACCAAGGTTTCCGTGCTCGTTCTGGCCGATACGGCGTTTAGACGACCCAGTTCCGGCCGCCGCGTTGCTCCGACGGCCGCTGCGGCGCGCGGCGGGCGGAAGCACCCTCGGGCGCCAGCCGCCTATCCCTCCCCTTCCCGCGGCTGGCCTGGAAAGAATCCCCGAGAGAGTTGAGGAGAGTATACGGTGGAGAAAGCGGAGGAAGAGATGGTCTGGGCGCTGACCCCCGTCGACACAGCGCGCGGTGCGCAGCCTCTCCTGTCCCCGTCCAGATACTTATCACCTTCCTATTTGGCGGGGCTTTTGTGGGTTTCGGTCGATTGTTTGGTGAATGCTTGTCTTGTGTTTCGCAGGGACGCAGAAGCGTTACATCTTCGCCGCCGGGACGTACAAGGTCGGCCGCAAAGGTGCCTCATTAGACCTCCCCTTGCGTTTCTTTATGTTTGCTACTTATTGGATCGGCAATGGAGAAGAACAAAGATCCTGTTTTTTTTATGGTTTTATTAAAGTTTATCTTGTCTTGTCTTAAATTCACTTGACCTAGTACACGGAACTATATACTGATATTGGTGATTTCCACTACAGATTGTGATATCATTGTTCAAACTGACACATCTATATCCCGAGTCCATGCGGAGATTGCAATTGAAAAGATGGTTGCCTGGGATCCGCATTCTGGTGCACCTGCCTGTCCATCATTTGTTCGTGTAATCGACCGATCAAAGTATGGCACATTTGTCAACAAAGTACATGGAACCCAGGGCAGTCGCCTGCATAAAGATGAAGATATGATGCTTACTGATGGGGATGCTGTGACTTTTGGAACTGGTAATGCGACCTTCAGGTGAGCTCAAGTCAAAATATCCCATACATTTGCTAATCCTTTCACTTATTACACGTCTTTTAAGTTTTAAAAACACCTTACCGATACATGACTCTATCTTACCCCTTTTTCTTTACTCATATGCATCATTGTGTTCCTAGGCTGTGAAAGTTGAACCGGTTGTACTTATTTCAGTTTTTATCTTTCTTATTGCAGGTTGTCATTTGTTCCAATAGTGGCCTATTTTCATGGTGGAAAGTCGGCACGAATTGATCCATCATTACATGCAGTCATGAAATCTATTGGTTAGTGGTAATCAGCACTTCCATTCTGTAGTAGCAGCACTGTTAGTTCATTTGAAAGCATATTAGTTCATTTTTCATTTCGTGAATGTGGCTACAGCTGTTGATAAATGATAACCTGTTTTTCTCTTTTGCACACTAATGATGGCCACCATTTTTTTTTTTGATGTTTTGGAAGGTGCATATGCTACTCGTAAGTGGAGCAATGAATGTACGCATGTTCTTGTTGATGAATCATGTTCGTTGACACCTGAGCTCCTCGATGCAGTTATGGCAAAGAAGCAGATCGTGTTGGGAGACTGGTTTAAGGTACTTCCTTTCCCCTATGGCCATACTTCTTATATGCTCCACAGCTACAATGTTTTAGATCAGTGAATTGTTATCATCCATGTAGACAGGCTTGTGTGAATTAGCTTGCTGCACAATACTAGGTTAAAAATCATGGTCATATAGAATATAGATGACCCAGGGTGTCACTGGTTTTGACTCTTGAATCTGAATTAGCATTCAACTCCTAGTTAAGTTGTGGCGTATATAAACCATTCTTATATACCGCATGTCTCCAGCTGAGTTCTGTATTTTTTTTTATCTGTTTCAGGCAATGGCTGAAAAGAACATACACACAGAGATCCCTTCTTGCACACAGTAAGTTGTGGACACCCCTTCGATGCTTGATAATATAGTTTGTGTGGATCCTTGTTCATGTTGTGCTTGCTTTATGATCATAGACGGTGAGGTGTTTTTGTTGGAATTTGATCCAGATACATTCCAAACTTGGCTCTTGATGGGATGGTGATCAAGATGGTGGATATCAACGCCATTCAGAATTGCCTAGCAGGCTATACTTTTATCCTGGGGTCATCAGATAAAGTGGTGTACTGTTCTTTTTCTGTAGAAAGAAAGAAGGTCATTAGACACTTTATTGTTGACTAATTCTATTCGTGTGCAGTATCAATTTGGTGAGAAGCTCCCTGGATTACTGGAATCAACTGGAGCAAAATACCTCCACATTGATGACTTTTGTGCAAACAGCCAGGTAAGTGCTGATGATAAAACTATTTTATGGTTGTTGTCTTCAGAAAATATGGGGTGTGTAATCTGTTCTGTTTTCTCCAATTGGGCGTGTAGCACAAATTTCAAGTTTTCCCTACTGGTCTATGCCAGTAGAATTTTGCACACGTTTTTCTAGTTGATTGCTGCATTGCTTTTGATACTGATTTTCTACCTTATTGTTGATAGGACTCAGCAGCTGGAGATACTGATCAACAAATTCTTGTAGTTCCTGCAAGATATCCTTTGGAATTCAGCAAGATACGTGGGTTATTTACTTTGTCAAAGATCAGTGATGTTAAGCTATTTGCTGCTACATTATCTGGCTGCTTGGAAGCAACTTCTATTGAACCACCTGCTTGTAAGTATTAAAAGAACAAATTCGTTCACTGGATCACTGCTATTCCCTTTTTTCTTTTATCTTCGCATTAGCAATAGCACCTTTGATGCCTTTCCCTGCATAAAATCAAGCTATAAATTCATATGTTCTTTTTATTCTATTTCTGTCAGTCATCATTACATCCTCGAATTCCACGGATGACACTATTGTGGCGGATTCGGATGTTGAAATGGAGACAGCAACTTCTAATCCTACTGGTGTTGCTAACAAGTCTCAACATCACATTGAGAATATCTCTGATGACGAAAAGGAAATCACAAATATAACCAATGAAGTTGCTGTAAGTATCAGTGCAACAAAGGGTAATGTTATTCACCCAAAATACCCAGAGAAAGTTGAAGATTTGAAACCTATTGAGGAGGATGTGAAGGTCATAGAGAAAACAGCAATGTATAGGTCCACAGCCAGAGATGAGGATGCTCACATTTTCAACAAGGCACCAAAGGATGAGAATTTGGACACCAGCAGGGATGGGACTTCTGATGTCATATTTAGTCAGAATCTGGTTGTCAGAAGCTTCCCTCAGTCAGCTCCTGCTACACCAACAGAAGTTGGAGGTGTTAACTTCAAACGTTTCAGGAAGGTATGATATATATAGCATTTGTGTAACTGAATGTGAGCTTGTTTACTTATGGGCCTCTGACCTTTTGCTTTAGAGGGAAACAGTGTCTGGAAACAGCTTCAAGGACCTTGTTCCATTTGCGCGGGAACCATACAGGCAAGAGTTCAAAAGGCTTCCAGTGAATTTTGAAAGGTTATTGATAATTAGACACGAAACTTCAATGAATTTGTTTTATTTCTGCAGAGAATCTGACTACGAACGTGGCACATTGACCGATTTCATGCGGGAGGAGAAGCAGCGGAAACAAATGGAAGCCATTGCAGATGACCTCTTCAACAATGCAAAGGTGCCTGCCTATGCCAAATTCATACTCCCTGAACTTGTCATGTCATGTGCATGCTTTAACCATTGTCCTAACAATGGAATTTCAGTCGAAGAAAAGAGCAGCTGCTGGAAGTTCGATTCACACCCTACTTACCGGCTACAGATGAGAGCCAGCAGGAGATCACCTTTGTATGCGCTCTGCCGGACTCTTCCTCGAAGGGCTAGAGAACTGCATCATCTTTTAACCAGACAAAAGAGAGCAACAGTTATCTTCATGGCACCTTCCATTGTCTCCACTCACTGAAGGTTTTCTGGAGGCAAGAGAAGCCTGCGTCGCAGGGTTCCTTTTTCCTTTTTCAGCCACGGCGAGAGACGCCGGCGTAGTTTAGGTTGACGTAGGATGGCTGTGTCATTACATGGCTTGTACTTGAGGTTATGTTATATATGAATTGTCCTGAGCGGAGATATTAGAGATTTTGGCATTACACGATGGACAAGTTTAGCATAGTCTAGAATTTGACCAAACATGAGGATTTTCTTGGGTTGAATGTTGCGTGGCTAGTTCATTAGAAGTTTGTTGTCGCAGTTGCGAAGAAAGCAAAGGATACGCAGTTTCCAGGCGTGGCTGGACCGTCCTACAAACCGCTGAAAGTTGTACTCATATCTTTACAGTAATCACATTCCAAAATCATCTGAAACAATCGTGCAAATTTCTCACGAAATCAACTATCTGCACCCACAATGGAACAATGCTTGGTCCCACCCATAAGCCAGACAAGCTCATGAAAGTTCCATGGGCACCAATAGAAACAAAATCAACCATTGGGCAGCAATAGAAGCAAAATCAACCATTGGAGGCACAGTAATGATGACCATACAATGACTGCTGTGCGACAGAGGAAGCCAAAAAAAAATACAATCTTTGCGTGCTCGAGACCAACGTCCAAATTACTCCTTACTCTATATGATGTTTGATGCGGCATGTTCAACAAATTATCCATGACCCTGCCACCATGACAACCCTGTGTTCCCTTGATGCCACAAACTAAACGATACATTTATCCAACAAGGAATCACACAAGGTGTGCATCCAGCTCTCATGAACTTGGGCCAGGTGATGCTTGCCTCAGCTTGGCTTGTAGTAGCATAGCCATATCCTCCGCTATGGCTTTCTTTTTTGTAGCCACCTACACGAAGCACAGAATGTTTATCTTCTTAGACAGATCATTCTACTGCATTCAGGATTTAATTGCATTGCAAATAGCAAATATCCAACTTCTCAATATCACCTACAAGCAATGCTTCATTAACTCAAAATATATCACGCACATCACACTGAGCTATGTGGTATTCTGTCTCAAGGACAGGGATAAGTCGAGTAAATGTGATTCTAGTATAGTAGTAAAATGTACTGTGTGCTCAATCATCATATAATAATTTATGTTGCTACTGTTTTAGAAAAAAACAATCCAGTTTCAGTTTCGTTTGTTTATTTCCTTGGTCAAAAGTTCTCTTAGTAAGAGTGTAAGACACAGAGACCTCTGCCAGAAATTAAGTTCTTAACAAAAATGCACAAGATGGAATTACCTATCATGGCTATGGGAAGAGTAATAGCATGCAGAAAAACCTTCAACATCTTATGGTAGCGAGTTCAGGTTTATATATGCAATTTTGAACCGTGGTTGAATACAATTCATAATCTATAATAGACTGAGCATCTACACGTAACATGATAAGTAACATAATAGCTTTTATAACACATAAAAATGATTCAAAAGCATTGCCAAATTTCTCATGGTGAGTACCATATGGAAACATTGGAGGGATGACAATATGATAGCCCACGTTAGGAACCGAAGTTCCAACTGGCCATCAAAGTTGGTGAAAGAATTTGTTCTTAGACAACCCAGCATACTATGGGTATGTCAAGAAAAGTCAAATAAAGAATCTGAGGATATAGAATGTTGGCAAAGTAGTTAGAAAATTTATAAGAATACAAGATTTGCTTTGAATTTCATATCAAAATCATTGTATAGCAAAGAAACTAGAGCTATTCGTATTCAAATAAGTATATGATGTCCACGTAATTAGTGCTGTTGTCAGTAAAGAGTAACCCATGTAGTGAATACGAAACGAAGCATTTGCTCCTCCAGATGGGAAGAAATAGCAATGTATACAAGAGCAGAGCAGTCTGAAAGAACATACCTCAGCCAGTTCATCAAAATTTGACTTCAATAAATTAATTTTCCTTTCACAGTATTCTTTCCCCTGAGCCATGGTTTTCTGTGCAGCAAAACAAAAGGAACAATTGAGTAGACATACTGTTTAATTACGATAGTGCATCACTCCGAATAGGTTTAAAATAAAAATGACATTACACTCAGTCCAAACCATAAAAGGATACATTTATATTTATGCCGAAGATAATTAATGATTTATCCCACCGGTGAGGCAATAACTGAAAGCATCTCCAAGGGACTGAAAAAAGGCTCCCAATCACCAGTTTTGGCATGCGCACAGAGGTGAAAACACAGATCTCCAACAACTCCCGTTCCACGCTTTTTTTTCCACGCTGCGCAAAATCCCTCTCCAACTCCTCATCTATGTGTGCCCTTGGCACTCCCAATCTGCAAACTGGCACCATGGAGCAGAAGAAATTTCATCGCCCACGCACTTTTGCTTTGCCTGCCTCTTTCCTGGCAATCCACCATGCCCCAGCCACCCCTGGTCAGTCCTGGCTGGCTGCGGCCGCCGCTGGCCTGGCTGCCATCAGCTGGCAGTGGCTGCTCCCAGCTGTGGGGTGGCTGCTGGTTGGTGGCGATTAGGGTGGGGCTGGGTGCCAGTTTTTCAACCTAACTCGTTTTTTCGACCCTTCGCCTGTTTTTTTATATTTATTTTTGACAAACCAATTATTGGCAACTATTGGAGAAATGCAAAAACTTTGATAGCTACTCTTTTTCGTAAGTTGGAATGATCAAGGATTTGGCAACTATTTTTTAGCTCTTGGAGATGCTGAGTGAAGACATCACTGGATACCTGCAAGGCTAGTAACCGATAACCGTAGCTTCTCCGTCAGAAAGGCTGACAGAAACTTAGCAACCGACCTTTTCCTTCTGTAAGTATCAATATTCAGTTTCCACTTCATAATGTGATGTCCATTATTCAGTCGTCAAGTATACCGGAATGCCACTGGTGTTTTTGGTACAATCAAAGAAGCTTTAGTGGTTGAAATCCACATGAAAATCTAGAGTTTTCTAGCTGAACTAATATTTCAGTCATGTATAAAACAACTAGAACAAGCCAGGTTACCTACTTACCTCGATGAAGTAACCGGTGCCGACGTCGACGAGGACCTTCTCGGCGTCGTCCAGCGAGCCAGGCACGTAGAGGGACGCCGTGAGGGGCACGAGCATCTTCTTCCCTGCACACCAACCACCGACGCCCTAGCCATCAATCGGCCGCCGGAAAGGAAGAGGAAACGAAACGAGCGGCACGGGTAAGCAAGGGGATCGGAGGAAGGGGTACGAAGATACGTGCCGTGGGGGCGGAGGGATAGGTCATGGAGCGCGGCGGAGGCGTTCTCGAGTCGAGTGGCGGCGGTGCGGATCTTGGTGAGGCTGTCCTGGAGGAGGTTGAACTCCAGATCCGTCTGCTCCTTGAGCCCCTTGAGCTGCTCGACGCTCAGCTTGTCCAGCTCGATCCGTCCAGGGTTCGCCATGGCTATCGCCTTCGCTAGCTACGCTTGTCACGGCGGCGCCAGGGCAGGAGTGGCGGCGGGTGTAAACGCGGAGGGAGGAGTAACGAGAGACACGGGCGGCGGGCACTATAGGCTAAGCGGTAAGAAACGGAAATAAATAAATAAAAAACTACGAAACATCTTAACAACAACAGCCCCTATAGCTCAGTGGTAGAGCGTCAGTCTTGTAAACTGAAGGTCTGTAGTTCGATCCTGCATGGGGGCATTGTTTTTATTTTCTATCTTTTTGTCTTATTTTGGTTTTCTTTCCAGTTTTCAGATTCCAAAAAAAAAACACACCTTCCTAGCTATTTAATTATTTTTAAATATCTTTTCTTCTCCAGACACACGCAGGCCTGGGTTTCAAAATTCGGGTGATGAAAATTGCTATCCGATATTAGCTCCGAAAAAACACTACCCGTAATTTCAGGTACCCGATAATTCAGGGTCAGGTATTACCTGATACACTTGAATTTACAGAAAACAACAAACTCCACTAAATTTTAGTAGCGATCTATACATAATTTCAGCAGCAATTTGTATAGAATTTCAACAACAATTTGCAGAAAATAATATATTACAGTCACTTGTTCAAATAGAGAGAATTATAGTCTAATAAAGTGATAAATTAAAGTGTTCAACTAACAACACATGATAAATACAAAGACAAAGGTAGTTCGGATAGTTTGGGTACCCGGGGATATTACCCGAATTACCCAAACAAATTTTGGGTAATCAAAATCGCTATCCGAATTTGAAATTGGGTACCTCGAGATCGGGTAATTCGGGTCTGAGTTCGGGTAATTCGGCAGGTAATAATGGGTATCGGGTATTTTGCCCTGGCCTAGACACACGGTATTGTTTTTCGGCCACTTGCTGGATTATTTTTTATTTTATGTTTACAGATTTTAACCATTTTGTTTTATTTTGGTCTATTTTTCAGAAAAAACGGTCCAAATTGCCATTTAATTGTTTTTAGTATCCCTTTTCTCTAGACACACGGTATTGTTTTTCGGTCACTTGTTGGATTCGAAAGTTGATTAAAAGCTTAATTAAGCATTGTAGACAGCGATAAATAATAAAGGGGGAGCGGAAACAAGAGGAAGGGTGCCGACTCGCTCTTCTCGCTCGTGGCTTAGGAGCTTTGGAAGGAGCGCAACACTAGGTGCTTCCGAGGCAAATCAGCGAACACTATGCAGTTCCCAGCTATGACTCGGCACTGTGCTGCACTGTTTCTGCTGTAGCTGCTCATCCCAGGGCTCCGGCTCCTGCTGAGATACTCTGCAAACGGAAGGGAGCCTGAGGAGCTTCAATTTGGGGGCTCCGCCGGCTCCGTCACAGTGCTGCTACAGTGACAGAGCCAGAGCCGCCGGAGCTCCACCAGAGTAATCGCTTTGGTCTATGCTAGGGTGGAACGAGCGAAGTGTAACC